ATATTTTTGGCTGATGGTGTAAGTGCCAAAATTATGGGCAAAGGTAAAGTAAAATTACCATGTTTAACACAGCCAATTGATGAATTATATGTGCCAAAGCTAAAACATAATTTACTATCCGTTAGCTCATTAGCAAAAGAGGGATTTACTAGCACATTCTATAGGAGTAAAAAAAGAGGATTTACTAGCACATTCTATAGGAGTAAATGTGTAATCACTGGAGAAAATAATGAAAAGCTGAATTGCTATATTAGAAACAATCTATACAGATTGAACAGTGTAAAGGCTAATAATGTCTATGAGAATGTATGTCCTCATAAGGATTGTATTCACTTGTGGCATTGAGATTAGGACATGCAAACTATACAACATTGCATAAGACTATAGAGAACTCAACTGGAGTGAATATAAGGCAGTGGGATAAGTACATAAACTGCCAAGCCTGTCAATAAGCTAAAAGTAAATGTGCTCCTGCCAAGAAACACAGTAACATAAAGGTTGACAACATATTAGACCTAGTATCAATAGATTTAATAGGGCCTAAACGTGCATCTTTAGGAGGAGCAAAGTACATTATCTCAATCCAAGATCAGAAGTCTAGATTCGGGTTCTGTTACTTGATTAAGGATAAAAGCTCAACACACATTGAATTTGAGAAATGGTTGAGATTTGTGGAGAGAAAGACAGTCAGAAAAGTAAAGCAGATACAGACAGATAATGGGACTGAATTTACAAATGCTAAATTCCAGTCAATATTGAGAAAGCATCGAATAACTCATAGGAAATCTGCACCTTACACTCCAACACAGAATGCCTTCATTGAGAGAAGAGGTCAAACACTTCAAAACATGGCTGAGGCTATGATAAGAGGAAGTAAGCTTCCAGAATATTACTGGGGCAAGGCAATTCTTTGCACAAATTTTTATTTAAATATACTTTGGCACAGTGATATTAATGATATACCATATACTATCTGGACAGGAAGAAAACCAAATTTAAAATTTCTACATGTATTTGGGTCACCTGCATGGGTGCATATACCTAAGGAGACCAGGAGAAAGGGTGATAGGAAGGCTAAGCTAATGTATTTTTTGGGTTACCAACAAAAAAGAAAAGCTTACAGATTTGGTTTACCCAATACAAACAAAGTAATCATTAGCAGCAGTGCAACATTTAATGAGCATGCTTACTGGGACAGGATAAGTTTGCCACTAGGAACTATCATCCACGCACCAGAATTGCAGGAGAATGGAGAAAGTGATGATGAGGAAAGCTCACAGCCAGAACAGGTAATCAAGAAAGAGTCTGAACCTGTTGAAACATAGCCAGATAGTGAAATTCCTTCTATATCAGAGGAGAGGGAAACTCCTGAGGAGGAGAGAGTTTTGCCTAGGAGATCAGCAAGGGAACATAGACCACCAGAGAGATACAAACCAGAGACTTATTATTGTTTAAATGTAGCTGAACCTGAAACATACGAAGATATTTGCAGGATGCCAAAGGTAGAGCAAGAAAAATGGAAGAGAAGGAGTTAAATTCTCTAAAACAGTTAAAGGTATATGAAGAAATTGAGGAACCTGCTGACAATAAAATTATTGGGTACAGGTGGATATTTAAAAACAAAGTTGATGCTAATGGTAATTTGAGGTACAGGGCAAGATTAGTTGCAAAAGGTTACTCTTAGACTTCTACTGATTATGATCAGGTGTTTGCACCAGCTCTGAGGCCAGAAACCTTGAGATTTGTCTTAACATATGCAGCCAAACACTACTTAGTTTCAAGGCATATTGACATAGAAACAGCTTACCTGTATGCAGATTTGCAGCACACTATATACATGAAGATGCCACCTAGCATAGAGAAAAAAGGTAAATGTTGGCTACTAAAAAAGAGTTTGTATGGTTTGAGGCAGAGTGGATATGAGGGGAATCAGCATTTAACTAAAACACTCAAAGGAAATGGATTTTTACAAGGCAAAGCAGATCCATGTTTATTTATCAAAAGGGAAGAGCAAACTATCATACTGGTATTTGTAGACGACATTGCAATATTTACTAAGGATGAGAAAAAAAGGGAAGAGTAAACTATCATACTGGTATTTGTAGACGGACATTGCAATATTTACTAAGGATGAGAAAACTGCCAATGATATAATTAAAATGCTAAAGAAAAACTATAATCTAAGGGACTTGGGTGAAATTAGAAACTACGTAGGAGTGGAGATAAAGAGAAATGAGAAAGGATTTAAAATATCTCAGAGAAATAAAATTCTGAAGCTGTTGACGCAATACAATATGGAAAATTGCAAGGGTGCTATTACTCCTATGACTGTGGAATTTGAAAGAGAAAATGTAACAGGTCCTGAATGTGATAGTGATATGTATAGATCACTGATAGGTAGTCTGTTGTACATAAGTAGATGGTCTAGACCTGATATATCTATTGCAGTATATCTAGTATCTAGAAATGCGAGCAAGCCAAATGAGAGACACTGGCAAGCTGCAAAAAGGGTGATAAGATATTTAAAAGAGACTCAAAACAAGGAATTATATCTAGAACCCAAGGGAGAGTTGACCATAACAGCATATGCAGATGTAAATTATGGGAATGACATAGTGACAAGAAGGTCTACATCAGGAATGACTGTTCATTTAGGTGAAAGCATAGTTAACTGGAAGACAGCAAGACAGAAATTTATATCACTTTCATCTGCTGAATCTGAATATGCAGCACTATCTGAACTTTGTACAGACCTTGTATTCTACAAACAATTAGCTCAGGATCTAGGAATGGATTTAAAAGGTCCAATAGCTGTAAATGTGGATAACCAGGCTGTAATACAAATGGCAACGTCTTAAAATGTGTAAAGCAGGTCTAAACACCCAGACATACGTTACCAGAATGTTACGCAAAGTATAGAGAATGGTCTGATCAAACTGATTTATTGTGAAACTGAGACGAATGTTGCTGACAGCTTAACTAAGGTATTGGGACCCACAAAACATGAGAGAGCATGTAACATGTTGGGAATGAAATGAAATGTGTAAATGTACTGTAATGTAAAAGTAAAAAACAATGTATATATATGTAAGCCAAACTGAATTTAACAATTGGAGGAGGTTGACAGGTTTGGGCTAAACTTGGAGAGAATTGTTAAATGCAGTTTTGAGCATACCAATAAGTATATATCAGGATCATTACTGTAAAGAGTAGCAAAGCATGAATGTATCCAGCTGAGTAAGTTGTGACAGCTATGGGAACAATCCCAGGATTGGTCAACCATGGGATAAAGCTAGCTGACCAAGCACATGCAATCTGTGGTGTAGTGGTGGTGTAGGTAGAATGTTACACAAAGTATAGAGAATGGTCTGATCAAAGTGATTTATTGTGAAACTGAGACGAATGTTGCTGACAGCTTAACTAAGGTATTGGGACCCACAAAACATGAGAGAGCATGTAACATGTTGGGAATGAAATGAAATGTGTAAATGTACTGTAATGTAAAAGTAAAAAACAATGTATATATATGTAAGCCAAACTGAATTTAACAATTGGAGGAGATTGACAGGTTTGGGCTAAACCTGGAGAGAATTGTTAAATGCAGTTTTGAGCATAGCAATAAGTATATATCAGGATCATTACTGTAAAGAGTAGCAAAGCATGAATGTATCCAGCTGAGTAAGTTGTGACAGCTATGGGAACAATCCCAGGATTGGTCAACCATGGGATAAAGCTAGCTGACCAAGCACATGCAATCTGTGGTGTAGTGGTGGTGTAGGTTGGTGTTGCTGTTCGTGTGGTCGTGGAGAGCTGTCATCGTGTTGCTGTGCTGGAGGAAGCTGTATCTTCGTGCTGTGTGCTGAAGAGGAACTCTGGCTACCTGGACAGAATGTATGGTATATGACTACTGAACTAATTTACTGAACTTTGACTCTGATTTATGCACTAAACTCTGTGGAAACTGCTGTGCAAGACATTGGGACTGGAAGCAAGGACTAAGCTGTATATAACCTGTAAATAATACAACTATTCTGCTATCAACACTGATTTGGTGCTTGGCGTCTTCATATCTCAGGGAAGCTCTATTGGTTAGCGCTTCCTGGTGTATCCTGGAAATACTGCAACTCTGTCAATGTTGGCCTATTCTAGTGCCTGCAGCTGCCCTTCCTCTGGTCAATCACTGGTTTCGGAGAAGGCACAGAGGTGTGTCCAGAAGAACAAAGAAGTAGATGTCCCTTTACAACAGCTTTGAAAAGATAAAATTGCTTGCACTACGGGGCATTATGGAAGCATGGTGCCACTAGTGGATCATGGTCCAACTCTTAATATTATGGCCATTATGTTATTGCTGGAAAAGAAGGCCATAGCAATCAAGGAAAAGAGAGAATATTTTACAGATTCCGAGCTGGATGAATACTTGCAGCTGAGAAAATTGACATCTTAATTTTTTGCCAGTTGCACACTTATTCAGAAAAGGCCTATTGCCTTTATCTTAAAGTGTCTACACATGTAATAAGGAAAGCACAACAGCCCTACCCTTTCCATCTTTGCTTTCAACACATGAAAGTGATAGCACTCTCTGTGTAGGAGAGGAAAAAGGGATGTGTGTGCTTTATTTGTGCAGATTCTCCATGTGAGAAAGCATTAAAAATTGAAAGCAGGCTTCAGACTCATGTGCAGACCTTACATAGTAGAGCAGCCTTCCCTCTTTAGATTGTGGCTTTGCATCTTTAAAGTAGCAAGGGGTGATGGGGCTAGCATATTGCTTTCATCATGCCTGGAGCACATATGCTTTAAGAAAAGGTAAATATGGCTAGAAACACATATACCCTGATATTACTGCTCACACCATCAATTTATATAGGAAAGAAAAGTCAAACAGGTAGCTTAAATGGGTTTAAAGAACATTTAAGAGCACTATCCTTTGAATACTCCTTCCTTCTCGTTCTTTGGTTTGAAAAAATTATACATAGTAATCTGAACTAAAAAACTGGAAGTACCTGCATAACAAATTCTCGACGACGAGGCACTCCTCTTTCTGAAATAAGAAGATATTCTGGTTCTTTCTCTCGTGTGGCTTGCTGAATTTGAGCCAGACGGCTAATAGGATTCATTCCTTGACCATACTCTGGACCAGTCTAAAGTGAATGATAAACAAGACAAGGATGTTTATTATCAAGTATTGATTCATGAGTACAGTTTCAAAATATGATTCTTTACTATGACAGCCTTGCACTAGTTCTACTTCCAACACTAAATGTTTGCATCAAAGGTGAAACTCCTGAAGAAATTCAGATACCAAAAAATATAATAACAAGGGACAGCTACACCTCATCCCGCTTATGCATTCAACTACCTTTTTAAAATAAGAATTCTACTCCAATAATCATTTTGGTCTCAAAATGTCCTTTTTTTGTGGCATGGCAATAATACAAGAGGGCACTTTGCTGAGATAAAATATAATATATAAGAGGTAGTTTTACACGTAAACAGTAAATCCTATTTCATAATTTATATATATGATTCTGAGGTTAATAGAAGAGAAAAAACAAACAAGATAAATGTAAAATTCAGATATTCTTATATATATAAGAAAAGGCTCTGCCTCACACTGTCAGGTGTGTCCTATAACTATGGCACTGATGTTGCACCGTCAAGTCAATTCTGTTTTATGGCAACCCTTTTCACGGTTTTCTAGATAGAGGGTATTCAGAAATCATTTACCATTTCCTTTTTCTGAGGGCATCTTGGGACTGTGCAGCTACCCCAAGGCCACACGGCTTGGCTCTTTTGGGATACACAGTGGGGAACTGAACTCCCAATCTGTAGCTCCCCAGCCAAATGTCTATCCAACTGAGTCCAAATACCTTTCCCACTGAGTTATCCAGCCAACTACAATGTTGGTTACATCATTGGAATAAACCCAAAAATCTATGCAACTGGCAAGGCAGGAAGCAGAGAATCGAAGTAAAGTGAGATAAAAAGAGCTTCTGTGTAGGTCAAGCATCAGTTAGAATCTAAGGTAAGTCTGGTCACAGTCTTGACTAAAGAGCTGAAGAAGTAATGACATTAAGCCAATGTTGTTGTTGTTTAGTCGTTACGTTGTGTCCGACTCTTCGTGACCCCATGGACCAGAGCATGCCAGGCCCTCCTGTCTTCTACACCAATGTAAGAGAGAGCTATTCATCCTTGGTGTTTGGCAGTTTCATGCAGCCTTTGGACTGGATGAACGGAGCTATTCATCCTTGGTGTTTGGCAGTTACCATCACTTACTGAATAGTTTCATGCAGCCTTTGGACTGGATGAACTGTAAGGTGGTTCCCTTGTGCAACATGATGGCTTAAGGAGTAAGATTCACTCACACACACACGCACAAACAAACAAACATATGCACACATACACAAATCTTCAGGATCTGAATGGATATGTTCCATAATCTCACCTCCTCCTCCTCCTTTTAGAAGTCCTAATATAAACTGGTATAGAATATATACAGAATAGACTTTCAGAGTAAATTCTCATGGCTACCTTTCGCATTCAACATTTCCCAGCTCTCCAGCAACATCAGTAACTTCTTTGATCCTGTATTTTTATCCATTTCTATTTTTTTATTTATGACTACTATGAATGGTTCAGACTCCTTTGAACAGGGAACCTACTCTTCTGACACACTTTGTTCATTTACATCCTTGCAGGAATTCTGTGAGGGTGGTGAATTTTACTGGATCATTTATGCAGACAGGAAAAGAGAAAGGTCAGAGAGATTAGATTTCCTAACATTACACAACAAGACAAGATTGAAAGATAGGCTGACACCCATCCCTCCACCCCTGGACAGCCTATATAAAACATCTCCCCATGACAAATTAAGTGTAAGGAAAATGCTTGCTTAGAGCAGATAACTATCAACACTGATAGCATCAAAGTGGGTGCTGGGAATAGCATGAGTGGGGAGATTAAGAAACACATTAATTTATCTGATACGACATGGGTTTGGGTCATAGGCTGCTACAGTAAGAGAGAATTTATAAATGAAGAATAAAAGAAGCTTGCATACAGAAGTAAGGTTTCAGGACTGGTTTGCAAGGCAGCTATGACACAGTAGTTTAATTTAAGCGAGTCATTCGCTTAAAAAAATTTACGCGAGTCATTCATTCAAAATTTATTGTGCTTGGTTATAGGCAATTCTTCCATTTAACAAGTGCAGAATACAGATTGCACTAAAGCACGTACACACTGTTTTCGTAAAAGGGGTTACCTTATGGAAAATGCAAATCATAAATATGATTGAGGTTTAGATAAAGAATACTGTATGTAAGTAAAAGAGCAAGAATCTCACATATATTAGCCAATATCTTTATGGCTCAAGCAATAAATTTATTAATACAGTATATTTATTAGAAATGCCTTACAACCTTTTCATGTGTACTATATAAACAACAATTTGAAGAATAATTCATTCCATTAATGTCAGTAACGTAAGCTTACATCCAAGTATTTCAAGATAAACTATTCTGTTTTGTTGATAGGATTGCCCTATTCACTGGGGCTTGCAAACTGGGTAACTAAGTTAAAAGAATCTACATTTTGAAAGAACCTGCTTTGCTTTGCATTACTGAATGTGAATTAACAAGGTGCAAGGAAACATCACTCATGCTCAAATAGTTTTAACTGCTTTACTAGATAATCATTTTCCCCCTGAAAACCCCCCACCAACCCCAATAAAATAAAATAAGGGAAGGGAGGGACACAAAGCCTGCTGCAGAGATGAGAGGCTAACGAGATGGTTTTTACGATACTGAGCCTAAGTGATAATGTATCGCAGGGAATGGCATCTGGCCGACTTATACAACACCTGAGTTTCATCAGATTTAATGCAGATAAGTCTAATTCTAGGCCTCTCCCCTCCATTTCAGAAGGAACTTTGGATGAATACACAAATCAGGACCAGCCCAAGATTGAAACTCATGAATCCTAGAAGCAGCAATAAATCCACTGCCACCAGGAATAAACACTCCATTTAAGAAACTTGAGCTCACAGGAATTTAGGAGGTTCAGAAAGAAGTTTCATTAGAGCCCTGCAAAGCACGCTAATATCCAGTAACAGAAAAAACAGTTTTGATGGATGGTTGGGTTACAATTCAGTAAGCTCTTATGGACATGATAATTATAAGGCAACCAGGAACTGAAATGTCAACGAATTCTTCAGAATCAAAGTCATAGAAGACAACCTACTTTAAAGTGTGAGCAAAGAAATCATAAAATCCATGGAAAGTTCAGATATTTAAAGTCCATCTTTGATTAAGTATTTTTAAAATTTTGAACTAAAAGTCTGGATCTCTTTCACACCCAAAATGACTGTTCTCTAAGACACTGTAAATGAGTAAATGATCTTTCAGAATAACATTTTAAAATGCAATTACTATCAATACATAAACACATTTTTGTCTTCTCTTCATCCTAGATTTGTGCCTTCTACAATATATAAGGCAGGTACTGCTATTTTTCATCCAGCTCTATCAGTAATTATGAGGAATGACCAGAGTGCAATGGTGAAGCATACACTTTGCATACAGAACCTAAATTCAGTCTACAGTTATCTCCTCTCTCTCTCTCTCTGTGTGTGTGTGTGTGTGTGTGTGTGTGTGTGTGTGTGTGTGTGTGTGTGTGTGTGTGTGTGTGTGTGTGTGTTTCAACTCCCATCAGCCCCACTAGCATGTAGAATGGTCAGTGATGCTACAATTAGTAGTCAAAAATTTTATAGGGCACAAAGCTGAGCAACACAACAATAAGTGATGTAAGAAACCTCCATCTGATCTGGCATATGGAAAGTCTCTTTGAACAATCAACTGGAAATAGAAACACGTTCCCAGGTCTGACCTATCACATGGCAAACAACAGCAGAAGATTCCTGAAAAATTCATTTATGAACATGTTTGTCCACTGCTTTACAGAACCAGCAGTATCACAACTCTTCTTTTGTCACTGCTGACTTGGCAGTGCAGCATGTACCAGTTTCAAAGAACAAAAGATAGCCCAATATAAATTAGAGCTTTTGCCAGTATAAAATATTCTTATGACTCAAGTCCCATAGAACAGAGGCAAAAGAGGTACATTTACATCACTGAAACACAACTATATGTTCAGCCACACTTGGTGAAGGAAGCCAGCTTTTCCCTGGTTCTATATGGTCTATTAGATATGGCCGGTCAAAAGAGCTAGAAAGAAACTTAACCCATCAGGTGAGTGCAATGCAATAATAATCTCAGGTACCCAAAGAAGTAGCAAGGTTAATTTGTCTTAGCATGCTGGCAAAAACAAACAAACCTAAGGCAAATTTTACACTGAAATAACAGTTTTATTCCAGTGTATACTTTGACAGATCGAAATCCACTTTTTTTTCTTTCTTTTCTTTTGCCAAGGTACAGATGACATTGACATAATCATCATCATCATGACACTGCAATTCCAGGGGATTCCACAGTTGAAAATAAAGAATTGGAAAAACTTACAAAATATAGATACTTAACAATCAAAACATTTTGATCATGCCAATGGTGAAACATAGCTATTTTTGACTATTAAAGGCTCCCCTACTCAAGTCCCAAAGCCTCCAAAGGCCTCCCAGGACAGAAGGAAGCCTTCGGGAACCTCAGAACCCAAAAAGGAGAAGAAAGAAAACTTTCAATTAATTTAACCTACATTTTATCAGTGCTCGATAATGATGTCATCTGGCTCCTGCAGTGTAAATTTACATAAAATAATTTTGTCCTTTTGGGGGCGAGGTAGACACATATTCTAATATGTTCGCATTCGGACAAAATTCTTCGTCCAACAATGTATGGCTTGCTGAAACAGGAATGGGCAATGAATGCAAAAGTTCCCTTCTGTTCTCATGTGTCTTGTTGCAAAAGAGAACGAGCTCCTGGATAGCTAGTCATAGCCCTTTTGTGATGTCTCAAATGGAGAACTTTGGCTCAATTGTTCCCTATGAACCAAGATGAAAATAATGGATTAAGAAAGAAGAAGAAACTCAGGCACTCACTTCCACTACATATCTGGCTGCAGAAATACCTGCCAGTTTCCCTGTGACTGCTGAACTTGGAAACAAAATTTAAATACTTCCTATGGGCTACAA